ACTGTAATTCATTATTATCAGGAAGTCCTAAAAACTCCCTGAAAAGCCTTCAGTTGTTTTCCTATTACTATTTCCTAATAAGTTTTCTCCAGAAATACAAGTTTTCTACTTATTTCTAAATATAAAACTTTAGAACACCAAATCAGTAGTTTGTCTCAATTCCTTTGACTGGACTTTTCTACTTTGTTCAGCTCAATTTAGCACGTCATCCTCAAGTAAGCTTCTCTCTCAGCGTACACTTCCTGGTCTTTTGAGACCCTGTCTACTGCAGTCACTTTCTGTCTAACTCAAGCTTGCACAAGACTCACAACTTGCAGAGAAATGGGCCCTTTGACCATGAAAATATCTGTCACCACAATCTCGCACTGCACTGATCAAGAAGAGAAGCAGCACAGGGGAGAGAGGAGAGCTGTGAATAAGTTAAAGGAGCCTTGACCCCTTATGGGTGCTGCTTCTAATGAGGTCAGATATCGACTGTTGGGCAAGCAGCGCCTTCCATTTTTCTGCCCATGCAGTTTATCCTAACTGGGATTTTGTTAGGTGTAATGCTCTACACTGTGAGCAGATTGTGGGTGGTTGTGTGTATGTTTTTAATAAGCTCTATAGGGGAAACAACTCACAGATGAATCTATGCTCTTCTTGCATCACTGTCCTGTCAAATTGGGCTTGTTGTTCTCTTTCTGTTTTCATTCTTCACTTTCCTTCTTGGTGAGTCTGTAATACTCCTCACTTCAGTGAAACTTTCCAGCATTTGGCTGGGAAACGAATTCCACAGTTTAAAGGAGTCACAAAAGCAAAGACAACACCCAATGTAGTGATTGACTACGGCACTCTTCCTACATTTGATAAATTAGTTTTTATCTTATCAACAAACCACTTATTTTAGCTAATCAATGAATTATTGTCAAAAACGTCCACTGACTATTTAACTGACTACAATCCAATCTAGCCCACATCAGTTCAATTTAAATTTATAGTACCAGCTCAAAACAACTGTTTCTTCAAGGTACTTTACATTGTAAAGTAAAATATTATGTCATGCAAAAATAATAATCTGACAATACCCAAGCACTTGGCAACAGTGGGAAGGGAAAATTCCCATTTAACAGAAAGAGACTGAGGCAGCTGTTTGCCATTAAGGTTGAGGCGTGAGGGAAGACAAACACAGAGAGAAAGAACCAAACAAACTCTAATCACATGCAACAGAGTCAACAAGAAATGCCCAGTGAATTATGGGAAGTCCCTCAGCAGCCAGAGCCAATGGCAGCATAATTAAGGGAGAGTTTAGCCCTCGTTATAAGTTTTTATCAAAAAAGTTTTAAGACTAATCTTAAAAGTATGGAGGGCGTCTGTCTCTCAGATTCAATTCAATTCATTTCAGTGTTGTTTATACAGCCCCAAATCACAACAGTGCCTAAAGGCACTTTATATTGTAAGGTAGACCCTACAATAATACATCCAGAGAAAAACCCAACAATCATATGACCCCCTATGAGCAAGGAGCATCGTTGTTGATAAACACCATAAGTCCATTAAGTTCAGGATGAACTTGCTATTAACAATATTATAACTTCTTTCAAAGGCAAAAGAATGAGACCACAGATACAAGGGGTGAAAATAAGCTTTCTCTCAAGGGTGGATGGGCTCTCCCTTAGCATGGGATGAGGAGTTTGGGAGGGGTCAGAGTAGAGCCACTATGCCTTCACATCATATCATGGGCTCTGGGTAGACAGTGAAATGAATAAGACCATAGGTACCATTAGCAGTAAAAAGCTTTGACAGTAATCTAAGGGAGACTGGGGACACTGAGTCCAAATGGACCATGTTCTGCACCTCCATCGCTAAGGCTGCTCAGGAAGGCCAGCTCTGTTCTGGGATGCACCCTGGACCCAGTGCAGGTGGTGGGAGACAGAAGGACTCTGGCCAAAATAACATCTCTGATGGACAGAGTCTCCCACCCCATGCATGTAGATGTTGCTGCAGAGCTGCTTCAGTGACAGACTGCTGCATCCTCGATGCATGAAGGAGCGTTTCTGCAGGTCCTTCCTCCCTGCAGCTGTCAGACTGTACAATCAGAACTGCTCCCAACAAACATAGATGTTTACATCAATGCTGTAACTGCAATAAGTTAGTTAGTTAACCAATTCGCACTACAACCTGGTTTGCCTCTTACCTGTAGTTATTTTTATTTAATTTAATAACTGTACAGTACTCTCTGTTTATAGTAACCATTGTCCTTAATGTAAATATGTAAGAAAAATTGTGTATGTTTCTGCTCTGTGTCCTGTGAACTGTTTGTTTGTATATGTGTCTTTCTAGCTGCTGTTACAACCAAATTTCCCCTTGTGGGACAATTAAAGGATTATTCTATTCTATTCTATTCTATTCTATTATGCAGCCGCAAAGATGGCAAAGATGCCTGTCATGGTGTCAGTCCATGAACCAGACAGTGGGCACTGGAGAATAAAGGAGCTGAAGAAGTCCTACTACAGCTTGGTTATCATGTGGGAGGCAATGCTCGTGGTTTGTGTGGTAGCAGAAGTAAAATCTCGGGTGTGCGAGGAGCTCGGTGAGGCCATCAAACAATGCCTTTGGTCTGCCTTAAAGTGATTCTAGCCAACTGTCAGGCAAGCGCTATACTTTTACTGTGTATAGTAGTGGTGGGGTGCTGCTGACTTCAGCTGAGGATATACAGGTCCTTCTCAACAAATTAGCATATTATGATAAAGTGCATTATTTCCTGTAATGCACTGATAAACATTAGACTTTCACATATTTTAGATTCATTACACACAACTGAAGTAGTTCAAGCTTTTTATTGTTTTAATATTGATGATTTTGGCATACAGCTCATGAAAACCCAAAATTCCTATCTCAAAAAATTAGCATATTTCATCCAACCAATAAAAGAAAAGTGTTTTTAATACAAAAAAAGTCAACCTTCAAATAATTATGTGCAGTTATGCACTCAATACTTGGTCGGGAATCCTTTTGCAGAAATGACTGCTTCAATGCGGCGTGGCATGGAGGCAATCAGCTGTGGCACTGCTGAGGTGTTATGGAGGCCCAGGATGCTTCGATAGCGGCCTTAAGCTCATCCAGAGTGTTGATGTGCGTCTCTCAACTTTCTCTTCACAATATCCCACAGATTCTCTACGGGGGTCAGGTCAGGAGAGTTGGCAGGCCAATTGAGCACAGTAATACCATGGTCAGTAAACCATTTACCAGTGGTTTTGGCACTGTGAGCAGGTGCCAGGTCGTGCTGAAAAATGAAATCTTCATCTCCATAAAGCTTTTCAGCAGATGGAAGCAAAAAGTGCTCCAAAATCTCCTGATAGCTGCATTGACCCTGCCCTTGATAAAACACAGTGGACCAACACCAGCAGCTGACATGGCACCCCAGACCATCACTGACTGTGGGTACTGACACTGGACTTCAGGCATTTCCCTCGCCTCAGTCTTCCTCCAGACTCTGGCACCTTGATTTCCGAATGACATGCAAAAGTTGCTTTCATCCAAAAACAGTACTTTGGACCACTGAGCAACAGTCCAGCGCTGCTTCTCTGTAGCCCAGGTCAGGCGCTTCTGCCGCTGTTTCTGGTTCAAAAGTGGCTTGACCTGGGGAATGCGGCACCTGTAGCCCATTTCCTGCACACGCCTGTACACGGTGGCTCTGGATGTTTCTACTCCAGACTCAGTCCACTGCTTCTGCAGGTCCCCCAAGGTCTGGAATTGGTCCTTCTCCACAATCTTCCTCAGGGTCCGGTCACCTCTTCTCGTTGTGCAGCGTTTTCTGCCACACTTTTTCCTTCCCACAGACTTCCCACTGAGGTGCCTTGATACAGCACTCTGGGAACAGCCTATTCGTTCAGGGATTTCTTTCTGTGTCTCACCCTCTTGCTTGAGGGTGTCAGTGATGGCCTTCTGGACAGCAGTCAGGTCGGCAGTCTGACCCATGATTGCGGTTTTGAGTAATGAACCAGGCTGGGAGTTTTTAAAAGCCTCAGGAATCTTTTGCAGGTGTTTAGAGTTAATTTGTTGATTCAGATGATTAGGTTAATAGCTCGTTTAGAGAACCTTTTCATGATATGCTAATTTGTTGAGATAGGAATTTTGGGTTTTCATGAGCTGTATGCCAAAATCATCAATATCAAAACAAAGAAAGGCTTGAACTACTTCAGTTGTGAGTAATGAATCTAAAATATATGAAAGTCTAATGTTTATCAGTACATTACAGAAAATAATGCACTTTATCACAATATGCTAACTTTTGAGAAGGACCTGTAGATGAGCAGTGGAAGGAGATATTGAGGACCTCATTCATCCCACTGAAACATCTTCTGTACAGGAAGCAGAGTCTGAGGACAAAGGCTGACCATTACGGTTGGAGTGGCTGTAGCTCAGGTGGTAGAGGAGGTCATCTACTAATCAGAAGGTTGGTGGTTTGATCCCTGGGTTGGTGGGTGGGCCTCTGCAATATTGTGTAGAGCTCTGGGATGGTGCCTCTGTATTACTGGAAACTGATAACTGGAAATGTGCTCCAATTACAGACAGAACATAGGGTAACTGGATCATCTGTTAGTCAACTAAAGGACGAACAAGGCCATAGTATGTTAGGGTCAGTATGTTTGAGGGTGTGTGGGAGTTTGCCCAACCAGTCTGCATGCGGTTTGTAGATGTGGAAAAAGGTTTGTGTGTTTACTTCAGTTATTTCATATTAGCCTCATTATGACCCCAGATGGTTTCATTATATAAATACAAATAATGTTTAGTTAAAATGACTAAAAACTAAGTGATATCACAAACAAGGCCCTTAAATAAGCTCCAAGATTGTTTATACTTGTCTTTAGATAAGTATACGTTTTGTTTTACGAAACATGCAAATTAACTTTAACTTTGCACAATCTTTTTTTCTTTAGATGGCATATTTACAGAACTAATAATGCCATGAGAACAAATAAGAGTTGCTATTATTATTATTTTGCGATTGTTTATACATTAATTACGAGCTGGTAGTCCATTTATGTTAAATATGTCAATAGAATGAGGGTTAAGTAACTGAAAGTTCTCCATAAATAAAATGCATCACTAAATTTGATTGACTGATTGACTGAACCACTTTTATAATGATTGAATAATAATGCAGAAACTCACATGATCCATTAGCTCCTTGACCATGCCATTCCACTGGCCTGTGTTCTCATCCTGGACACCATATTTTCCATCTTCCACCAGGCGGACCTCGAAAGTAAAGCCTAGGATGTTGGCCAGCTCTCTGAGTAGATCAATGCAGTAGCCCTCAAAGCGGTCGTTTCCATAGAGTGGTTTGTCAGACTTCTTGAACATCACGTATGGTTCTTCCTGTTGGGCAAAATAGGGAGGAGGGATGAGTCTTAGCAGCACTTCCCATCTTTTACCTACAGATAAAGTGTATAGGTCATCTGATATGTGAGCCATGCCGCCCCTAACATAAACTCCCCAGGTTGGTAAAGCATATGCTGCTGTGTGTGTGTGTGTGTGTGTGTGTGTGTGTGTGTGTGTGTGTGTGTGTTTTCCAGTCGTCCCAGTTCTGTGATGTGGGTTGGGGTTGGTACAAAGTGAGGCATGACCATAATAAGAGATAATCCCCTCATATCAGTTACTCTGTGCCTCTCTCGGGCACGTCAGGCTGGCGTTGGCCACAAGCTCAGCTTTCAGGGTTCCACATGCTTTAACAATAAGATAAGAGCTGCTGATAGACAGACACAAAAAGGAGAGAGCTGGCACATACCCTCTGTTCACATGAACAGCTGGAGAAAGCTGTCTTTTTTCAAACCATTTCCTTTCTGCCTCCCGCCTACTGAGCATCTCCTTCACCGTGTCCTTCTCGTCTCCCTCCACAGCTCACTCCCGGTTTCCTCCTCCACCTGCTTCCTCCTCTTTACACCTCTGCTTTATGCACCATCTGTCTTTTTTAGCCTTAGATGCTCATTCGTGCAGCATATCCCTCATTTCTTGTTTCTCGCAGACAAATAAATCGCAAAATATATCACCAAGCAGGTGTTATTTATCAGATAACTGTGGCATGACTGAAAAAACATCATTTAAAATTGTTAATAGCTTTGACATGTTTTGTCTCGTTCCTTAGATTTGGTCCTGGGGTTTTCAGTTTTGCTGTTTTAGACTCCTAGTTCGGATTCTTAGTAATATATTTGACTCTTGGTTTATTTTTTATTATTAGTTGTTGTTCATTGTTTTGTTTTTGTTGATGGTTTTTGTTCCTGTTTGATTCAAATAGACTGTGTGGAAATCACTGACAATTAAACTTCTGTTTTTAATTTTTAGTTATTATTGTCATGCATTTCAGTTTTGCAATCTTGTGTTTTGTTAAATGTGTCATATTTGTACTTTTTACTTCTCTCCGTCTTTTGCTGTCTGTTCCTCCATTTTTCTTATTTCTGGATTAGTGTCTTGGTTCCGTCCAAAGACATGCAGCTTGTGGGGATAGGTCAATTGGATAATCCAAATTGTCACTAGGTGTGAATGTGCGAATGAAAGTGAATGCGAATGGTTGTCTGTCCCTGCGTGTTAGCCCTGCAACAGACTGGCGACCTGTCCAGGGTGTACCCCGCCTCTCGCCCTATGACAGCTGGGATAGGCTCCAGCGCCCCCCACGACCCTGAAAAGGATAAGCGGAAGCGAATGGATGGATGGATGTCTTGGTTCCCTTGTGCTAAATGGTAAATGGCCTGCATTTGTATAGTGCTTTACTTAGTCCCTAAGGACCCCAAAGCGCTTTCCACTACATTCAGTCATTCACCCATTCACACAATTGCAGCCAGGAGGCAGCCTGGGATCGAACCACCAACTTCTGATTAGTGGCTGACTTGCTCTGCTTTATTTTGTAAGAGAAGGCTGTAAAATAACAGAGAGAAATCCCAACATTCATAAAATCTTCTTTGTACAAGTACTTGGCGACAGTGGGAAGGAAAAAGGCCAGTTTAACAGCAAGAAACCTCCGGCAGAACCAGGCTCACTGAGGGGTAGCCATTGGGGCCAGTCTGAACCATTTCGGAGTGATAGGAGCGAGTCTAAATTACTTCTCTCTCTATTTTACTTTGTAGGTTATTTTCTTTCATGCTTTGCACTGTTTTAAATGTATCTGTTGTAAATAGCCTTACTGTCTAACTATGTTTGTAATTACATTTCGTGTTGAATTGTTGAATAAAAGTTTACATATATATCCCTCTCTTGCCCCTCGTCTATCCTTCAAGCTTGGGTCCTCTACCAGAGGCCTGGGAGCTTGAGGGCCCTGCAGTATCTTAGCTGTTCCTAGGACTGCGTTCTTCTGGACAGAGATCGTCGATGTGTTTCCTGGGATCTGCTGGAGCCACTCGCCTAGCTTGGGAGTCACTGCCCTGAGTGCTTCGATTACCACTAGGACCACTGTTACCTTCACCCTCCACATCCTCTCGAGCTCTTCTCTGAGTGCCTTGGTACTTCTCCAGCTTCTCATGTTCCCTCTTCCTGATGTTGCTGTCATTCGGTATCGCTATGTCTATCACTATGGCTATCTTCTTCTGCTTTTCTACCACTACTATGTCCAGTTGGTTAGCCACCACCAGTTTGTCCATCTGTATCTGTATCTGGAAGTCCCACAGGATTTTAGCTTGGTTATTCTCCACCACCCTTGGAGGCGTCTCCCATTTTGACCTCGGGACTTCCAGGGCTTACTCGGCACAGATGTTCCTGTACACTATGCCGGCCACTTGGTTATGGCGTTCCATGTATGCCTTGCCTGCTAGCATCTTGCACCCTGCTGTTATGTGCTGGATTGTCTCTGGAGCATCTTTACACAGCCTGCACCTGGGGTCTTGCCTGGTGTGATAGACCCCAGCCTCTATGGATCTTGTGCTCAGAGCTTGTTCCTGTGCTGCCATGATTAGTGCCTCTGTGCTGTCTTTCAGTCCAGCCACCAATAGGATTTGTGGACGTCAGCCACTTCCTCTATCTGGCGGTGGTACATACCGTGCAGGGGCCTGTCCTTCCATGATGGTTCCTCCCCTTGCAACTCTTTCTTGGGTTTCTGCTGCCTGAGGTATTTACTGAGCACGGAGTCAGTCGTGGCCATTTTCCTGATGTACTTGTGGATGTTTTGTTGTTTCATCCTGGACTGTGGTACTGATACTCACCAGTCCCTGGCCTCCTTCCTACCGCTTAGGATACAAGTCAAGTCAAGTCAAGTCAAGTCAAGTCAAGTCAAGTCAAGTGGCTTTTATTGTCATTTCAACCATGTACAGTGGTACAGTACAGAGTGAAATGAGACAGCGCTCCTCCGAGACCCTGGAGGATACAGACACAAGACAGTGCAATGGAAATGTGTGAAATGCTGAGTATTGTGCAAAAGTAACTTGCTGTCTCAGGGCTTGCAAAATTTCAAAATCCCTGGTAGCCCTTCAGGCAGGCACTCTTCAGTTTTCAGTGTTTTCAGGGACTCTGTCGCTGAGCCATGTTTCTGTGATAAAAAAGACGCAGCAGTCTCTAAATTCCGGCTGCATGGTCCGCTGGAGTCGGATGTAGTCCAGTTTATTGAGAGGAAGATGGATGGAAGAACCGGTTGGCTTGGATTTGCTCTTAGCCTATTACGGACCGCACCACGCTTGAAGCACTTCTGCTTCCTCACGCAGCGCTTTCGGCAACCTGTCCACTGGCCACCAGCATCAGACGATGAGAGGACAGAAGGCTGGGTTTCCATAGCAACCCGAGGACGCTCAGCGCTTCCAGTAGCTCCGGGTCAGTTTTTGTGTGATGCTTGTAATTTAGAAGTGTTTGCCGTTGGTAAACATGAACACCGATTGTTCTGGTGTCCATGTGGCTCAGAGGTCATCATGAAAATTCGATAGAAAGCACAAAAGCACAAAAACAGCACCATTTGGTCTTGAGTGGCCGCTGCTGTTCCCGCGCCACCAGTGTGCTGCACTTGGGGTGAAACATGCATGGTAAGGAGCTTCCTTGTCTTGATGTCCGTAGCGTCTATCTCCTCCTTTGGCCAGCTTATTATCCCAGCAGGGTACCTGATCACGGGCAGGGTGTAGGTGTTGATAGCCCGGATCTTGTTCTTACTGTTCAGCTGACTCCTCAGGACTGGCCTGAACCCTCTGCAGATACTTGATGGTGGTAGCTTTCCTAGCAGCCTCTTTGTGGTTTCCATTTGCCTGTGGGATGCCCAGGTACTTGTTACTGTCCTCTCTGTTTGCAATGTTGTCTTCTGGTAGTTTGATCCCCTCAGTTCTGACTGCATTCCCTACACTTCTCCAGTCTGAACGACATTGCGGTGTCTGTACGTTAAGTGGTAGAAAGGAGGCCGGGGACTGGTGAGTGTCAAAACCACATCCCAGGATGAGACAAGGAACATCCACGAGTACATCAGGAAGATGTCCCCAACCAATCCCGTGCTCAGTGAATACCTCAGACAGCAGAAACCCAAGAAAGAGGAGGAAGAGGAGTAACATTAATGGAAGGACAGGCCCCTGCACGGTATGTACCACCAGCAAAAAGAGGAAGTAGCTGACATCCAGAAGGTAAAATGCTTCAGTTATGCAGAACGTTACTCCTTCTTGTCCTCGAATGGACTGTGGGTCATCAATGACCTTTCCTTGTTGCATCTTTTTCAATTCCTGCATCACCCCATATGTATGTATTTCAACAAATCATGTTTTCTTAACCTGTGATTCTGCTTTCCTGTTTCTAAGTCACTCTAGTCTACAATTTCTTCCATGTCACGATATAGCTGGTTGGAGGTACCAAAGTCTCCCTCCTTTCTCCTGTTCCGCCAACTCTCAGTCTCATTATAGTCTTTGTCTGTCCTAGCTAACAGTGGCCTTGAACCTAAATGCAGACTCTCTTTGTTCGTCCTTTTGCTTTATCACAGGCCCTTTGTTCTTTCTGCCTTATTGCATGCTCTGGTCCTGTCCCGGCCTTCAACAGCCTTCAACCTTAAGGCCCCATGCCTTAACCCAGGCTCTTTTCTCTCTTGTCATGCAACTTTCAGCCTTTTGCAGACTCTCTGTTCTCTGTTGGCCAGCAGTTGCCCCAAACCTAATGCAGCTTATCTCTCACCTGTTTTGCAACTTTCCACCTTTGCAGGCTCTCTGTTCTCTGTCAGCCATCAGTGGCCTTAATCTTCTCTCTTCTGTTTCTTATCGTTCGCTTGCTTTTCTGCTGCGCTCTAGCCTTCAGTGGCCCTAACCCTTAAGGCAGCCTCTCCTCTTGGGACTCCTTTTGCCAACTTACAGGCTTTTCGCAAACTCTCTGTCTCTCTCCAGTTGAACATCAGCGCCGGGCCTATCAAAGGCCCATTGTCTCTATCTTACCTCTAGTCTGTCCTCACATCTCATTTCAGTTTCTCTCCACCAAGCTGGTCTTCGGTGGCCCTCGAGCATCATCACAGGCTCATTCTGCTGCTCTACCCTTTGCTCTCCAGACCCAGTTTCTAATGTAATGTGGTGCTTATGCATGTTATGCCTTTCTCTGTGCCATGCAATACCGCTAACGTTCATGTGTTCCATTACGTTTAGGTCAGATCTCAATGCCACAGTAAGATTGATTTTTTTTTTCTTTGGGGGTCATGCCCTAACCTTTATCATTGCTGGGATTCAGTTGTGTTGTCCTACTGTGCTGGACCATCAGCATCTAACCCATTAAATACCACAAAGTGAATTCTGTACAATCAAGAAATCAATCAAAACCATAACTTTAAACTGAAAGCTTCATTCTTTTTGCATTCACATATTGGTGCAGTTGACATTCACCATCATAAATTTGAATTTGAGAGTAACAGTCTGCTGTGCTCTACCCCAAAAATAAAAACAGGAATGTGTGTCTTTTTTAACTGCACTGCAACTGTCTGTTATGTCACTGGACACATTACTGTGCACGTAATACATCTAGTAGAGCATACCATGGCTCTTGGACTGCAAGACTGCAAGAATACTGATGTAATGTTGATGAAAGAGCAGAAAGCACTGTCTAGATAGTGATCAATATCAGTGAGACAGGAATGTCAGGACATGCAGTAGTATTTGTTTATACAAGAATAAAGTTTAAGGTGAAAATAAAAAAAGGAATTCAATAATTTGTAATATATTTATATTATATTTAAAATAGACACATCGATGTCCCAATATTTATGGAACTGAGTGTATTTGGCACCTAATTAGCACATGTGTAAAATGTGGTAAGGTGGACACTTGCTTTTGAAGACATGAACACAGTGTGTGTTGTTTAGGCAATGTTTACATACATTGTTTCTTCTATTTTTTTTTTTTTTTAACTCATTGCAACATCCAGTAATCCAAGGTAAGAGGAGTTTTTTTCTTTTCCCCACCTCACCATCGTAACTGAAACTCTGCTCAACATTTTTTAAAACCACGTATATTGTTTTGGACTGTGTGCTGAAGGACAGGACTCACTGAAACTCTGCCACCATCACCAAAGTAGAAGAAGGAAGAAGATTGGTCATCATTCCAAAGAGGTTTTCATATGTTGATTTTCAAATGTGTTAAATAACCTTCAGGCTATTTATTACCCACATTCTGTTTTGAACTTTACTAATAGTTTGACAAGATGAAAAATGAAAGCTCCTAACTCCAGCCCAACTTTGCCATAAAACTATAAAAGTAGTTGATTTGTGGGTTAAAAAGAGTGCTGTTCACATTGATTGAAAAGCTGTAATGATTAAACTTAACATGCTCATTAGAATTCTCTCTCTGCCTATGGAATAAGTGCAGAGTTCACTTTTGCAGAAATTCTCAAGGCCAAAACTGATCTTGACAGAATGAAGTTATCTTTTAGACAAAAACTATTTGTCTTCTACTGCTTACATTTTACATGACTTTAGACTTTCATCAGTTTTATCCCAAGGTAAATTGTTAAAAATTACATGTATAGCACATTCAAAAATAGGTCTTGTGATGTAGCATCCTGGAAGACACCACTCCCTCCACCAGAGAAATATTTCATCATGGGATAAAGGCAATCACAACAACCTTGTAGTAATTTTTCCCTCACATTCCCTTTAACACTAGAATTACTGAGCCAAATTACTGCGGTGTTGCTATCAGTGTGTGAAGAGTGGGAGAAGAGGGTTGCATTGA